ATATATATATATATATATATATATATATAATCGCAGTAAGTTACCTGCCGTTTGCTGTAAGACTTATTCCCGACCGTTTGTTCTCCTTGCAGCTACTTTGTGACCCAAATCTGTCATCAAGCACTCCATGAAAAACGGGTTCGTGGCAACTCATTCCGAAGATGAGCGGTGCAGACGGTGTGGCCTTGGCGGTTGAGTTATTTAGAACAACCTTTCCAACGCTAGACAGTGATGTTTCAAGCTACGTTGAAGGTAACCCTACCTTACTTACTAATTTTTCAGGAATTTTGCAGGAAAATGCCGAACATTTTGATTGTGAAGGTGATGTGCACGATGCGATTGGTGGTCTTCTGAGTAGCTTTTCCACTGAGGTGTCTGAGAAAGAAGTGGACGAGTTGTGTTCCAGGATCTATGCGTTGATGAGTTCGTACGTGCTCCTTGTTCTATGACCATTTTTAGCAGGCAGAATTTCAAGGACCATGAGCAGACATTAGATGCTCCTGTACATATGGCCACCTTACTTGATAACTTCTCCGACAAGGTCGCGGACAACAATAGCATTTGGATGGCAAAGCGTGATATGTCTTCCGTGGTGGACCTCAAGAAGCTCGAGAAGGCTGAGGCCAAACTTAAAGAAAAGCAAGAGAAAAAAGGATTGAACTCAAGAACTGTTGGATCTTGTAGCACTAAGTATGTCCCAAGACAATGTGCCCTATAATATTTAGTTCCATAAAATCTCTGGACAACGGGGAGGACGTCGCCACTGTTAGTCAGCAGATCGATAGACGCGACGTTCACTCAACTGTGGATTCTTCTGGTCGATTTGTTGGTGATATTCGGATAGAAAACTTTGATGTCTGTTATGGAAGCAGGTAAAATACTATTCTCCACTGTACTGTGCAATGCGTAGAACACCGTTAGCGTTACAGACACTACGTTCCTCCAGAAGCCTACCGATATTTACACGGTCGCCTTGTTTTCCACTGCGTCCAACTTGCATGTTTTACTAAGGTACTCTTCCAGAACTAGTCTTGAAATGCTTCCAGTAGTGTTTTTTTCTGTCAGAGGAAGGACTGGCGCTATATCCTGTCTAAGTACGATTTCCTCACACTGCTGATCAGCCGATCTTGGTAGATCTTCAAGTGTTCAAACTTCTGGCTGGGAGGTCGCAGGTTCAAAACTCCCTGGAGTTTCGTATGAGACACATTGCTGGTGATTCCCAATGTGGCTGGAACAGCTGTGAATGTATCCTCAGCTTTTCAGCGAGATGGCTCAGTGGTTAGAGCGCGGAAAGTCCGCGGTGCGAACTCGACCTCTGCCATCCGACTTCCCCTGTCCAGACTTGGGCAACGTGACAGCATCCCAGCCCTCGTTCTTCCTTCTAGTGGCATGGTAGTTGAACATCGAAAGGTGTTACAGCTGAACGATTTTTGCAGCATAGACTAGTTATATCTACAGGAATCTCAAATGAACCGCTTCCGAATCTCACACTACCAATAAATTACAGTTCTTCTCACCTTCTAGCACTGTTACTTGAATCTCAAGGGTTGGCAACCTTCCGGTTAGCATACTGGGTTCTAGGTAGTACCATATCGTGTACACGGCTTTTCGTTTGTAATATTTTCAAAGGATATACTGCAAAACAGGGACATACTGCAGTGCTCTGCCCATCAACACTCGTACCGATCACTTTGTTTGTACGACCATGTGGGAGGCAAGATGATCCCACACTACCCAGTTTGAGGACGGTAAGAAATGTCAGCGGCTACAGCCAAACTGGGTGGTTTAGGATCTTCGGACTTTCCTGCTTCCTCGCATTTGGTTAGGAACCCTACAGGACATGGCACATAGCGAATCCCTCTCTCTCTCTCTCTCTTGTTCAGCTCTAATACCCTTTCTGTGCCTCTCTGCCGAGGAAGCACGAGGGCTGAGATATTGCTAGGGTGCCAAGCTTAGACTGGAGCGATCGAGATGCCAGGGTTGGGTTCGACCCGAGGATTTTTCGGTCAGCAAGTTCGCGCCCCAATCAATGAGTTATCCCAAGTTGACCTCATTTGCGATCATGCTGTCACTTTCCAGCCGGATTACTTTGCTAGACTTTGTCTGTCGTGTGCTGGGTGTATGTGAACAAACGTTCACGTAGACTGGCCTTTTCTTTTCGCCAAGTCCCTAAACTTTTTCTGCTGTTTTCCAGGGCACTCTCCTTACGATTGTTTGACAGCTAAGGATCAGTATATATGGCTGATGTGACATCTTCAGTGATGAAGATTTTGACCACAGTGGCAAGTCTCAGTCTCCATGTCCCTCTCTATTACGACCACCTGCTTGACAAGCCCGAATTGCTGTAGCATTATGTGGTTAGGGCTTTAAGTTTTATCATCTTATTAAATTAGAGTGCATGCCTGCACATCGTTTTGAATTTATCTTGTAAGCCAAGTTCACGCAACTTAGTGACTCCTCCTAGAGTGTGGTTCCGCAGGGTGGAAGTATGTGGTAGCGGTGTGCTGTTTTTTGGGCGGTTCTTGACACTTCAGAAGGTTATGAGCTATACTGTTTCGACAATTGAGTTATCTGCTCTGATGATGAATGTCCGCCTAGCTACCAGTGTCAGTAGCGTTTTTGCTGTTGACTGTATTTTTAAGAGAACTCAGTTTATACTGTCTTTTTTCGACTAGGGATACCTTATGTCCTTTTGCACCAGGTTTTTAGATCAACTTGTTATGGTGGTACCCTGGTGCAACTTAGACTTTTATTACCGGCCTGACATTGTGTCAGAAAACGGCAGCTCGTGCTCATTCACCCTTTTTTGATCCGGCGGCTGGTAATCTGACATTCTAGCTCCTCACCAGTGCGCATTTGGCATGATACTTCCTCCTTACTTACCTGCGTTGAGCGTGACCTTACCACAAGGTCCATGGGCCGAACCCGATCTGGACTTCCCATGTCTAGGTTTGGATAACCTGGTAGTATCCCAGCCGTCGTGCTTCCTTCGGATGGCAGGATATAAACATCTGTATGTAGGTATCTGTCCAACCGCGCTCTGTCGACGTCTCTTGGATTAGTGACGAAATATTTGCAAGCCAGTTGTCACAATTGGAAAGCAGATCAACGAACAGTAATCCGGTTTAGCTGTTTCGTCTGACAATGCCACACAATCGTGTGGTAACATGTGTGTTACCATGAGATTCTTCTGCTCTTAAAAATGGATACAATTAATTGAACTCTGATGTTGAGATAGTTCGCCCGTAGAATAAAACATTTCCATAGTTCGCACCTATACCATATGAATATTTCCATGGTCTAAATGAGCAAACAGTAATAAACATTAAGCTTTTCGGGGTCTGGTCTTCAGATCAATACATTTGTAGTGGTCAAACTAAAGACAACTTGTGAAATAAACAACTGAGGTTGGGAGCCTAGCCAATTGGTTGCTAGCGGAATTACGATCCAAATCGGTGCAAATCGGTCTACATTGGCTTCCTTCAGCTCATTGCGTGTAAAAATTTTCGTTCCTCCAGAATACTGAGTTTTCACATTCTTGACATAAACACTTAACGTAAAGGGACAAGATAGGTCAATGCTTCGAGCGCGAATTCACCGACCGGAAGGTCCGTGGTTCCAACCCGACCTTTGCCTCTCAACTTCCCCTGTCTGAGCTTGGGCAACCCGGCAGTATTCCAACCCTCGTACTTCCTTCGAGCAGCATGGCAGCTAGGCAGCTAGGTGCTACAGCTGAACGATTTTTTACCTAACGTGAATTTATGCTACACCACGTTGTGTTTCTATCCACAGACAGCCCATGTAGCAACGGTAGTATAGTTGTACTACCGCTGTTTCTTTTGGAAAGATTGTGGTCATCTGGTTGACGCTGTTGACTTAATTCTCATGTATTAGGTTCTACTATCAACTCTGGTCTCTACTAAATATCGTGTGTATTTCTTCAGGGTACTCCTCCAAGGCGCAAATCTAACCCTGTCCTACGGTAGACGATACGGATTCGTCGGACGCAATGGGTTTGGAAAAACCACATTGCTGCGTGCTCTCTCCAGGTAAAACAGATGATTAACTTCCTTTGTTTGTGATTTCTTGTGTGTTCTAAAAACATTAGTCCGTATGCCAAATAGGGCATACAGGAAATGGGCACTGTCTGTATTTTGAAACTTATGCATATGAAATTATTGCAGCCTTCATTTCGCTTCATTTACGAGGTTGCCCGATATCAGTACTTGTTGGGTAGGACCGTAGCTTGGTTGACGACTATTGCTTATTGTATATTTGGTTTTTAAATCTCCAGCCCGTTCCGTGTTTACGTTCTAACCACTGTTCAGGCGAGATTTCCAGCTCCCACCTGGATTACGGGTTCTCCATGTGGAACAAGAAATACCCGGCGATTCAACGCCCGCGTTGGATAGTGTGGTGCAAGCTGATACAGAAAGAACCGCGCTGCTTTCCCAGTTGGCACAGCTGAAAGCATGTGTTTCTTCAAACGGTTTATCGGTACCGAGTGACAGTGCAACGGAGGAAGAAAAGAAATATGGCCATCTCTTGGCGGAAGTTTACTCTCGACTGGCAGCCATCGAGGCAGACAAGGCCCCAGCACGTGCGGCAGTCATTCTCCATGGCTTGGGCTTCAATCCAGAGATGCAGGTAGGTGTTTTGTCTTCCTTGTATCCTTGTTTGGCTGGTTGGTTCCTTGGTAGCTGGTTAGCTGGTTTCCATAAACATTCCTTTGTTCTATATAGCCGACGGTAACATGGATAGAGTCAATGTAACAGTTTTACTGCGACCACTCGCCACCCAAGCGGACGAAATGCTGAAAAGTTCTAATTTCCCGAGTTAGTTTGGGTGTAAGAACTTTTTAGTCTGAACTGAGCGTTTATGCTTTTTATGGTTGTTTCTGTGGCTACTGAACGATATACCCCGTTCTTTCAGAAACGTCCAACCAAGGAATTCTCAGGTGGCTGGCGGATGCGGCTCTCTCTGGCACAGGCACTGTTCGCAAAGCCTGACCTGCTGTTACTCGACGAACCAACCAATATGCTTGACATGCGTGCTTTGATTTGGTTGGAAGAATATCTACGGGTATGTCTTGATATTTCAACTTCGACTGGGCTTCGGTTTCTACAGTACTATACCATATGAGCTGCCAGAATTCTCCTTACTGGAAAATGTTTTGTGTGTCTAGTTTTGGAATCCCACAATTTTACCGAAATTGAGTCTCAGACTGTGATCATTCTACTACTTTTTTATTGCTTTGTACTCCGACTTCTGTTTGATCGGCTTGGCAAAAAGTAAACTTTCAGCTCTTCTAGATTCTGACCACCTTCGAGGCTTGAATGTGCTCATTTGGCCAGAACCAGCTTGCGCGTAGGGATCTGGGATGAAACCGAGGACGAAATGGCCAAGCATCGTTTTTAGTATAATTGCATTTTGGACAGCGTGTGGATAATTAGCAGTTGGCCTGCTCGACCAGAGGCTGTGTGCCGCGATTATATCCCGTCTCAATGTACAACCGTTTTAGATTCGGAGCACCACTTTCATAGAAGGCTTTGCTTAACGCACTTATGTGCATGATGAAGCCATCCACACGCTGACGTTGGTGATTGCTGGTTTTCTCATCATTGCCTATTGATTCGCCGAGATCCATATGTGAGCCCACCTTTGCGTAGATGTTAACTGAATTGATCTAGGTTAGCTCTGACTTTGTGACCGGGTAACTCGGGTAGGTTCAACGTGGCTACTTTACTCAATCGTGAGAAAGTCTGTACAGCTCTTCATTGAAAGGGCAAGCAAATAGCATCATTTGACAAATACACCCACTTGTGTACAAGTTTGGTTTTCACGAGAGACACTCGAATCCCAGCTGAATCACTCGCTTGTGATGTTCTTCAGCTGAATATGCTGGGTTCAAGCAAAACATAAGGTTGACGGAAATTCGGGGTTGCATCTACGTGACGAGCCCCGAGAAGGACAAAACCGGCGTGGGCTGTTGAAGGGTTTTCAGCAATCTTATGAGCTGTGTGTTACGTTTATGAATACCATCATGTTCTAATTTTATTGCAGTCCTCATCAAACATAATGGTCATCGTATCTCATGACCGCTCGTTTCTGAATAATGTGGCAACGGACATTATTCATCTAACCTCCCGCCGACTCGATGTCTATCGTGGTAACTATGATGCGTTTGAACAAGCGCGTGCGGACCGTCTCCTTGCACAGCAACGTGAATATGAGGCGCAACAGGCCGAACGCGCACACATTCAGGTATGCATCTGATCTATGCTATGATGTCGCCATTTTTTTCTCGATAGTCCTGGGTTGGACCCACCGGCCATGAGTTTTCCAACAAAACCACCCTAGACAGCGTATCTTACGAAGTTCACTCAGCATTACGAATGAGTGTACAGAAATCCAAACAAAAGCCAGTGTCACTGACTTTGAAATAGACCGGTACATTTTTCTAGTGGATACTGGATGGCCACTGGCGATCAGTATTTATTCACTGCTGCGTATGACCAAACTGTAGGTCCGAAAACTACTCTTTATGGAACGTAATGTTACAGAAGTATTTTATGATGTCTACTGATCCTCAATTCGTTCTGTCCTTGTCCGCGGTCGATCAGTATTTACGTCATTTAGCCTCACGACCTGAAATGCAAGGTGTCATGTAGTAATTCGGACAACGGAATCGTGGTTTATCGGTGACAGTATACGTGGAATATTTTTGCAAAACAGCTTAGTCTAATAAATATCCTGGACCAGATCAAAACGCATCCTCACTTAGTGATCCCTGACGGATTTGTGTAATGCCGAAAACTCCGGTACTTCACCTAGAAGAACCAACTCCATCTTGTTCTAAGCAGCAGGTTCATAACCACACTTAGCTGTGGGTTTCTGGTTGAAAGTGGAGTTGATTTATATTGGATGACCATTCACCAACTGATTATATGCGACTGTTTTTTCGTCTAACAGAGATTCATACCCAAAACTTTGTAGATAGGAGTCTTAGCTCTACCATTCAGGAATCGATGGCTGATCATCAGTGTAAGTTGAATGTAGACGGACCGTAGAGCTGTCCATTCTTCTAGGAGAGGCCCATGTCACTTACCAGTTGTACCCGTCGCTTGGTCGCTAATTCTGTGGTTTTCCTCTAATCCAATCAGCAATTTATCGACAAATTTCGGTACAAGGCTAACCATGCCCGGCTCGTTCAAAGTAGAGTGAAAATGTTGGAACGTCTTCCGCAACTTGCAATGCCGGAGAAAGATCCGAAAATCACCATTCACTTGCCTATCTGTGATAAACTATCCTCACCTGTCCTACAGCTTGACGAAGTTTGCTTCCACTACGTACCGGAAAAACCGATCCTGTATAAAGTCGACCTCAGTATCTCTTCGGACTCCCGGATCTGCATTGTAAGTTTTTCTCAGGTCGTTGCAGTACTATGATATCTAGAAGCATCCTGCTTGTTTGTGTTTCCACCAGGGTTTTAATTATCCTCATTCTTTTACTCTCCTCCTCACGAGCATTTTACTAAAGGAATTCTCAGAATTCTGGCGGCATCAATGACCATTTCTCTTCGTCAGTTTGTTGGAACATTCTTCAATTACGTCGTTCTGAATCACTGAAACTCAGAACTTCGTGACACAATATATATCCTGGCTGTTTACTAGTGTGATCACGAATCTCTTATCTTATTTTCTCTTATCTTATCTTATTTTCTCTTATCTTATCTTATTTTGTAGGTGGGAGAAAATGGCGCGGGAAAGACAACACTATTGCGCGTCCTCTTGGGGCAACTTGAACCAACCTCTGGTATGCGTCACACACATCGTGGTCTCCGTGTGGGCTACTTTAGTCAGCATCATGTGGACCAATTAGATTTGAGCTTAAACAGCTTGGAATTTCTGATGCGAAAATTCCCCAGTCAAAATGAGCAGACCTATCGCTCTCAGCTGGCAGGATTTAACATCACGGACATGTTGGCTCTTCAACCTATCGGTAGTCTTTCGGGTGGGCAGAAGTCACGTGTTGCTTTTGCTGCCATGTGCATGTCCAAGTAAGGCTTGGTTAATCTATTTTTGTCCTGGTTGTCATTTATCCAGCTTCATCACGCTTTTTGATGCGCAACGCTTTTGGAGTCAACCCGGGGGAGTATGGTGTCGCATTTTCCATTGAAATCGGTTCAGCGCATGGGTTAACGTTGCCTTGAACCTCATTTTATGTCAGTTTGGTGGTGTACGACTGTTGACTGTCGCACCTCTACCTCGCATGAGAAGCTGCAAGTGACATGTGGATAGTATGGTGACAGCTCATGGGATCAAAATAAATCGCGAAGCCAATCTAACTTGGACGTGAATCGCCTTCTGTAATGTACCGCTCATCTGCCAAAGCACATATACCCCGGTAACAGCCATTCCGTTGCACCTCTATTCTTGTCATTGAAAATGTATAGTGAAAGGCTTCCATCCTCCATTGTTTATTTACCATCTCTTCAAGAACAAACACACCATGAAACCAGTGAAAACTCAGCATTCTGTTTACAACTATCTGCGTCGGACATTCATCAAAACAATATGTTCGCGGCCTTGTGTTTCGAATTGCAGTAGCTCCACTCAGTAAGCCTTTGTAGAACGAACACGATTGTAGGGTAGATCATGAACACTTGCTGCCGATAGAACCTTCGCCGCTCCGACAACAGGATGCGTGAAATCAAGCAATCACGTTGGGGAAGCGCCAAACAAATTGTTTGGTAGTCTTCGGTGGATTTTTCCTGTTGGCAACTGGTGCAACTCAATAAGTCTGTAATTCTAAATATCAGTTTCAGCCATTGGTTTAAGAAAGTGCTTGAGTTACTCGGTGGCCTGAATAGAATTGTTGGCGTAATTTGTAATTTCTTGCTCCTTGGTCCCTCTCAAAGCACTGTCATCGTACCCCAGAGTCATATCCAAGTTCATCTTAGCTCGAGCGATGTCGCAATCGAAAGTTGATACCGACGAGTGACAGGAAGTTAATATCTTCCATAGTCATCCAGAAATCGCCTTCAACATAATTGTCACTTGGCATCAACTTCCCTGTTGGTGTTATGTAGCTGTGAGTTCTGTAACGTGTCCACGACGAAACTTTGTATAACTTTGTAGTGAATCAGAATCGCGAAAGCGGCACTTACACCGCATGCTGGCAAAATTTCCCAGGGGACAGGTATAGCGTGCCAGCGCGAAATGGAGGCAGCCACCGTCAAAATTAGTGCTGTGGGATCTTTCCGACGCTCTAGAGAGGTCCGCGTGATTTTTACAGATTTAAATATTACAGGACATGGCTTGTAGCCGGTTCTTGTGGTGGGCATGATCTCGCTTCCTAGCCGGACTGCTATTTGTTTGTTGTTGTGTGTCGGCCTCGTGTTGGATAACTTTCGCAAAACATGCTGGACCACTCTCACTGACGGCGTCTCACTCCGCTATAGTGCTCAGCTGAGCTGATGTTGGTCAAAGTTGTAGGTATCTTGCTTTTGTTCATCTCCCTTGGGAATACAACGCTTTTCAAATCAACTTCTCATCCCTCATTTTCGCCTCACTAGGTTGTTCTCTTGTGGTCTTAATTTTCCAACGGTCGTTTTGCTGTTGGTTATGATCCCATCTCAACTCGCACACATCGTTCAGCTGCAGCACCTTTTCGGTGCATAGCTGCCATGCCATCCTAAGAAAGCACGAGGGCTGGGATACTACCAGGTTGCCCAAGCCTGGACAGGGGAAGTCGAGAGGCAGAGGTCGGGTTCGAAATACGGGCCTTCCGGTCAGTAAATTTGCGCTTTAAGCACTTGGTCCATCTCGGCCCCTACTCGCACACAGGACATCGTTCGTTAGAACCCTGCTGTGGGCAAGTCCCACATTCTGCTTTGCAATCTGAGGGCGTTTCCAACAATCAACAGGTTTCTGGATTCGAATTTGCCCAGCTAGTTTAGCCAGTTTTGAGGACTTCGGTGCGCTTATCTCCATTGTCAAGATTTGCCACCAGGCCTCTGAAACTCAGGTCCCTACTGCATTTGACGCCTCCCTTCTTACACTTTCACCTTTTCCTTCTTCCCCCCTCCCCCACACAAATTCGAATACTTTCTCCGCAGGTCCCAGCTCTAGGAAAACTCAGCATTCTGTTTACAACTATCTGCGTCGGACATTCATCAAAACAATATGTTCGCGGCCTTGTGTTTCGAATTGCAGTAGCTCCACTCAGTAAGCCTTTGTAGAACGAACACGATTGTAGGGTAGATCATGAACACTTGCTGCCGATAGAACCTTCGCCGCTCCGACAACAGGATGCGTGAAATCAAGCAATCACGTTGGGGAAGCGCCAAACAAATTGTTTGGTAGTCTTCGGTGGATTTTTCCTGTTGGCAACTGGTGCAACTCAATAAGTCTGTAATTCTAAATATCAGTTTCAGCCATTGGTTTAAGAAAGTGCTTGAGTTACTCGGTGGCCTGAATAGAATTGTTGGCGTAATTTGTAATTTCTTGCTCCTTGGTCCCTCTCAAAGCACTGTCATCGTACCCCAGAGTCATATCCAAGTTCATCTTAGCACGAGCGATGTCGCAATCGAAAGTTGATACCGACGAGTGACAGGAAGTTAATATCTTCCATAGTCATCCAGAAATCGCCTTCAACATAATTGTCACTTGGCATCAACTTCCCTGTTGGTGTTATGTAGCTGTGAGTTCTGTAACGTGTCCACGACGAAACTTTGTATAACTTTGTAGTGAATCAGAATCGCGAAAGCGGCACTTACACCGCATGCTGGCAAAATTTCCCATGGGACAGGTATAGCGTGGCAGCGCGAAATGGAGGCAGCCATTGTCAAAATTAGTGCTGTGGGATCTTTCCGACGCTCTAGAGAGGTCCGCGTGATTTTTACAGATTTAAATATTACAGGACATGGCTTGTAGCCGGTTCTTGTGGTGGGCATGATCTCGCTTCCTAGCCGGACTGCTATTTGTTTGTTGTTGTGTGTCGGCCTCGTGTTGGATAACTTTCGCAAAACATGCTGGACCACTCTCACTGACGGCGTCTCACTCCGCTATAGTGCTCAGCTGAGCTGATGTTGGTCAAAGTTGTAGGCATCTTGCTTTTGTTCATCTCCCTTGGGAATACAGCGCTTTTGAAATCAACTTCTCATCCCTCATTTTCGCCTCACTAGGTTGTTCTCTTGTGGTCTTAATTTTCCAACGGTTGTTTTGCTGTTGGTTATGATCCCATCTCAACTCGCACACATCGTTCAGCTGCAGCACCTTTTCGGTGCATAGCTGCCATGCCATCCTAAGAAAGCACGAGGGCTGGGATACTACCAGGTTGCCCAAGCCTGGACAGGGGAAGTCGAGAGGCAGAGGTCGGGTTCGAAATACGGGCCTTCCGGTCAGTAAATTTGCGCTTTAAGCACTTGGTCCATCTCGGCCCCTACTCGCACACAGGACATCGTTCGTTAGAACCCTGCTGTGGGCAAGTCCCACATTCTGCTTTGCAATCTGAGGGCGTTTCCAACAATCAACAGGTTTCTGGATTCGAATTTGCCCAGCTAGTTTAGCCAGTTTTGAGGACTTCGGTGCGCTTATCTCCATTGTCAAGATTTGCCACCAGGCCTCTGAAACTCAGGTCCCTACTGCATTTGACGCCTCCCTTCTTACACTTTCACGTTTTCCTTCTTCCACCCTCCCCAACTCAAATTCGAATACTCTGCAGGTCCCAGCTCTAGGACCGTGTTGTTCGCCCTGCATCACACTCAGCTGCAGCTTCTGCACGTCCGAGTTCAGTTACAACCCTAAACACTTCGAAGTCTGTTTTCAAACCCCGAAAGCCTGTCCATTTAGCCACCTTAAATGTTCGCACACTGAAGCAAGCAGATCAACAAGTGGCTCTTGCGCGTACGCTGGATTCCCTCTGTATTGATGTATGTTGTCTGTCAGAAACAAGGATGCAGGACGCAAGTACTGTAATCGAACTGACTGCCCCCTCGCTCTCTTCCAGGTTCCGACTGCGCACCTCTGGTGATGCAGAGGCCGCTGCAGCTGGATATGCTGGGGTGGGTATTGTATTGAGCGAACGAGCGGAACCGTCTCTGCTTGATTGGATACCCGTAGACAGTCGCCTCTGTGCGGTTCGTTTGGCAACATCTGTGAGGGGAATCTCGGAAAGTGAGGTTTATCGCACCCTGTTTATTGTGTCTGCATACGCCCCAACTGACTGTAGCTCTGAATCTGCCAAGGACATTTTCTATGACGCTCTAGGT